CTTATCCTGGCTTCAGTGACTGAATGATCAGAGCTCAACCAGAAGTAAAAAGGAGAAAAAAAAAAAAAAAAGTATTTTCATACAATTTGATGAACTTGACCTACACCTATGGAAGTAGTAGCTCAAAAGAGGGAACAAGTCCTTACAGCAAGAATCATTCCCACCTCCTCCACACACAGAGTAGACAGGGATGGGCAACTTGGATGTTGGCTACCCAAAACGGGGGGCGGGGGGCTATAAAGGCAAGAAGTGACTGGCTTACAAGCTTTCAAGAGGGAACCTAGATCCAGAGGGCCTGGAGGAAGGTAGAATCTCCAGTGAGTAGTATTCAATCTGACTAGGCGGGGCTGATGCAATGAAATGCAGACGAGTCTCTTGTGATACAGTAGTGAATAATTGTTATCAGGACTGATTGTGAGGGTTGGAAATGTAAAGGTAGACGTTTTATAGCAAGGAAGGGAGTGATTAACTTTTCAGTCTAGGAGCAGAGGTCCCTAGGACCTTCAAGGGGGAAGAGCAGAGAGCGGGACCCTACCCAGAGAAGCAGTGATGCCTGAAATGGAGCCAGAGATGATGATGTGGAGCAATGGAGCAGCTGGAGACTTTAGATCCAGAGAGGGAGAGCAACTATGTGCTGAAGACCTGGGGGTACTGGGGAAGGATTGCATGGAGGGGATTGTAACCATGGCAATGAGACAATATACGACAGAATGAATGTAAAACTAATGTTCTCCCATGTAAACTATCACATAATTCACAATAAAACATTTAAGAAAAAAAGAGAGGAGTGAAAAATCTCAACTTAAAAAAAAAATTTAATTACAAAAGCTTTATCATAAGGAAGCCAGAGCTTTATATATAGGACAGCACCGCTTCTGAGATCAAGGATATGGAGGCCTCAGAAATGGAGACATAGGGGAAGATGGACCACAGAAAGATTCCTGACTATTCCCATTTCCAAAGCTACACCTTGAAGCTTTGAGAAGCTGGCCTTTGGCTATGCGATTTATTGTGTTGCTACGGGATCGTAGCATACTGTGCTTTGGCTTCAAGCAATGCTTTTGCTTCAACACATTTTGGAAGAAATGTTTTTAATACTATGAAACTATAAAGCTTCCATTTCCTACTCCAAAAGCTTTTCCAAATGACTGTCTTTTTTTTTTGGAACACTGTTTCCAAATCAGCATATCAAGTTCTGGGGACAATAACCCCCATTTCCAGTTCCATTTGGAGTCTGTTCAGTGAATATAAACGTATTTCCCTTACTGACAACTCAAGCAAAACATAATTAGTCAAACCTGCTACTTCTCACCCCACTTTAAATGCATCTGAGAATCAAATATATACTTTTCTTCCAGGCTAAATTATTTGACCTCTGCTTCAAAAAAGGTTTTGTCATGGTCAGAGGCGTGACTGTAAGTTGTATGATTTCTTAACAGAGAGGCACGCAGGCTGGCCTGTGTTAGACCAGGTATGTATCTTAACAGTACCCTTACTGTTATCCCTATTCCCACACCCCCCTAGCCACTTCCCAACAGTCTTGGAACACCGCTCAGGGAACTGCTTCTTTTATAGTACCCTTATAGTAGCAAATTCTCCTCCTCTGCAGATATTTGACTTTGGGAAGCAACCAAGTCTAGTGAATAAGGAGGCTTAATCAAGCTGGATAATACCATTTGAGGTCGATTATAAATCATGACTATATTATAAAGGGGGCTTCAAAAAGTTTAAGGAAAAATTCTATTATCTTTTCATTCTATTTTCCCACAAACCTTTTGATGCCCCCTTGTATAAGGAATGGGCCAATCTTTTTGTACATATTTTATTCTGAAAATAGTTAAAGAGAAGTGACAAAAAATGTTTTTTAAGGAAGACTTCATCATCAGAAAACATGTACATCCTAAGGGAAACCTAAGTCCTAGTAGGTTTTGTTTCTTATTCTGTTTTTAAATCTATTTTATTACGCATCCTTCTCAATGGTAGCTATGTTTAGTAAGTTTGGAGGTTTGAGTATTCCTTAAAATCAAACCCAAACCACCACCAAGTCGATTCTGACTCACAGTGACCCTTCATAAGATCAACAAGAATGTAAATCTTTATGGGAGCAGATAACCTCATCTTTGGCTTATGTGGTGGCTGGTGGGTTTGAACCATGAGCCTTGTAGTTAGCAGTCCAGTGCTTATTCTACAGTGCCACCAGGTATTCCTTAGCAAAATTTAAAAGCTTTTCTCATGTTACTGTAAACATGGTTGCTAACAGTTATTTTTTAAATTACCTGCTCAAAAATAATCAGGGGTATGTTGTTGTTGTTATGTGCCGTGGAGTCGGTTCCAACCCATAGCGACCCTGAACAGGGTTTCCAAGGCTGTAAATCTTTACGGGAGCAGAAAGCCCCATCTTTCTCCCACGGAACAGCTGGTAGTTTAGAACTGCTGAGTTTGTGGTTCGCAACCCAATTCGTAACCACTACACTACCAGAGCTCCTTAAACAGGAGCATAGTGCAAGGTTAAATGACACCAGTGGTCAAGTGGGTTTGCCATAATCCAACTGAGGCAGGAAACCACCATGACCAGTTCTGAATGAAGCGAGCTTGGACTGTCTCGATCCTATTCCACAGTTACTGCACCAGAGGGTGGTCTAAAAACTCCCCACCCCTAACACACCTTTTTCTTGAAGCAATCCCGTAGCCTAAGAAAGTGAACACAAAATCAATAAAGGAGAGAATATTTTGGTCTCTTTTCCCATTGGTGTGGAACACATCATTTGCCTCTTCAGGTCCTTGTTTGGATCAAGCTCCTCTGGGTGAGCCTCCAGTACACATGTTAATCTAGGTTGGGGTGGAGAACATTTATGCCATACCTCTGACTCATATTCCAGCCCCTGGCATCCTGACCTCTCCCTTCATTGAGTCACATTTGTTGGGTCACAAGGAGCTTTAGATAACAACTGGCCCAACCCACTCCTGAGAAACTAAAACTTGCAAGTGGTCTAGAGGTCACCCATTAGTAGGCAGCAGGGCTGAGAGGAGTGTCCTTTTCACTACTCAGCATAGTACACAGAGAGGAAACCTTGGTCAACTGCCAACAATGAATGGAGAAAATGATTTAAAAAGATTCTTGTGAACAAACCAGCAAAGTTGCTCTGTGGCTCACGATTCCCTTGCAAAGGACAGTCGCGAACTCCCAAGAAAGACTTCTGTGGTGGAAGCATGAGAAGAGGAATACAGATAAATTTATTAGTTAAATACTGATTTTACAGCCATTTCACCTTAAGACCATGTTAGCAGGTTTATGGGTTAGGGTAGGCATATTAGGGTGGCCTTCATGGAAGAAAACAATGTAAATGATTAAAACAGAATCTTGCCTTAAAGATCTTCTCTGCTACAGCCAGTAGGATTTTGGGGTAGGGGGCTGAGTGCTTTGGGGTAGGATAGAATAATGCCATAGTCAGCTACAGCTCTGGTGACAACAAGGACAAGGATGGAGGAGTCTTCATGAGTCCTGGAGCCACGGCAGACACTGAGCAACATGGAGAGAAGCAGGCCAATCCCAGAGCAGCTCACGGCTGGAGGCTCCCTCAAGGCCCACCCTTGGTGTTTTTTTCTTTTCAAGTCATCTTTCGTTCCATGAGTTTTGCTTTGCTTTGTTTGTTTTTAATGTATTTTGCAAAATCTCTAGCTTTTCACCTTTTAGACAAAAAAAGATATCCACTGAGGAAAAGATGCAGGTTGAGGTGCTCTGTGCTTTTTGTCTGACCAAGAGGCACATCTTCAGAGACAATGATACCACCAGCAGGATCAGAGAGCAAGTGCGCCAGGGTTCATAGCGAGTCCTGAGTCCCCCAAAATGGGGCAGGCCCCAGCCAGGGGAACCATGCCCACTAGGCATTCTCTCCAGAAAGGTCTCAAGTCTTACAAGAGTGTGTGTCACATTTGCGTTAGCAAAGAACATTTTTGTTCTTCCGCAGGACCCCTCTGTTTTATGGGGTAATGAAGGATTTGTGGGGAGATGGTTATGAGTTGGTTGCTGTTAGGCTACCTACTGAGACACGTATAAGCTGAAGACAGAGCTCAATCCTTCAGAGCAGTAGGAAGGATTTTTATTTTAAGAGACCTTGGGAGTGAAAAGAAGGAGCAATAGGAGAAAGGACTTCTGGGGGAGGCGAAGTTGCTATGTTGAGATTTTGATGAAGCTGTACTGTGTGGTGGGAGAAGTAGCCTTCTCTTCCAACCCGCTAAGAAACATTCAGAAATACCTGTATGACACCCAATATTTTGGAGTCAGATTTGGTACTAGGAATACAAGGATGTGCCAAATCTCAAGGGGAGTGTTGGGCAAGGGCAGAGACTGCTCAAAAAAGGATCTGTGGCAGATGCTCCAGTTCAGGATGGAGCAGGGTTCCCAGGGTCCTGCCCCCTTTATGCTCCCACAGATCGCGAGTGCTGGGAGCACAATTAAAAAAAAAAAATGCAAAAACACTCTTAGGCCACAAGAAGCCCTGGTGGTCCAGTGGTTAGGCACTTGGCTGCTAACCAGAAGGTCAGCAGTTCCACAAAGGAGAAAAGACCTAGTGATCTGCTTCCATAAAGATTACAGCCCAGGGAACCCTGTGGGGCAGCTCTAGTCTGTCCTACAGAACCAACTGCTATGAGTATGAACTGACTTGACAGCGCACAACAACAACAACAATCTTAGGCCACAGTAGGAGAAAGGTAGTGAAGAAGAGTATCTTGTATCTTGTAGGGCCAACAGAGAGGAGAAGTCTCTAACTACAGAGAAGAGACTCTGTGTGCTCTTGGTGAAGGGTGTGGCTCTTCTGCATCAGAGTCCAGGCTCTTTCCAGCTCCCCAAACCTTGAGAAGGTATCTGATCAAATTCAGCATCCCCTGCCCCTCACCCAATCATGGACTTCAAGTTTCTTCCCAATTGTTCTGCTGGAGTTATTTCCAGACAGAGGAGGCTGGCCACGGAGAGCCTGGAGCCTCGAGCTCTGCTGTCCTCCAAGTCCCAAGTCTATGCAGGAATTTGAGGAGGGAAAGAGGTGCGATTAGGCAGTGATTATGTCCCCGTGACTGTCAGCCAAGACCAGGCTGTTCCAAGAGTCCTGCTTGGAGCTGGCCTGTGGCGACTGGCTAACAGAGGAGGTGTAGCCTTGTGGGGAGAGCTTCAGAGCCGAGAGGACTGGGTGGATGGAGGGCCCGTGGCCAGACATCGCACTGACGGAGAATGTCTGAAAACAAAAAGTGAGAGATGAAGTAAATTCTGGTTTCTCCACAGGGTCTGATAAGACATTTTGTACAATCTTATTACCATCAGTTTTTCAACTTTGAAATAAGCCTTTCTCCCCACCCAGAAGGGACTCCTGGCTTTCCTGATTCTAAGGATCAGCTTCCTGTTTATTCCAACAGCAAAAAGCTCATTAGGACATTGGGCTGCCTTCAGATAAGTACACAGGAGATGAGAGTGGGCCAGTAATGGGAGACCATGACAAAGCTTGGGAGCATCCTGATCCCAAATAAGGGGAACTATAGAGGGAAGAGGGGAAGGGAATAGAGATGCCACCATATCATCTACAAGGGGGAAATGTGGGCACTGCTTATCTAGCCTGTGGAACTAACAGGAAAAGGGGTCTACTGGTGCCCTGCTTCCTATGCTCTGGGAGCAGAAGTGTCTGCTACCATTACTGATCATTGTGATCAAAGATGCTTCATAACCAAAAGGGGAGAATGGCTGAATAGAATTTCAAATGTTCATGGGATCCAAGCATTCTGGAGCATAGAGAATGAATGAACCCTTAAACTAAGATTACCTTTAAACCTTAGACTAAAAACACCAAACAATATCAGCTTATCTAATAAGAATACTTGTCTAAAGCATTATGTTCTTTTAAGATCTACAAGGGGACTTCAAAAAGTTCATGAAAGAAGTCCATTATGTTTTCTAATTCTATTTATCCACAGACTTTTTGAAGCTCCCTTGTAACTATAGTAGCCCTGGTGTGGTGCTGTAGGATAAGTACTGGACCACTAACTACAAGGTAAGTAAGTACTAGACTGCAAACCTCAAGATTAGCAGTTCAAACTCACCAGTCACTCTTGGAAAGCCTATACGGGGTGGCTGAGTCAGAACTGACTCAGTAGCACATAACAACAACAAAACATCTATAGGGGATCAAATTGACAACAGCAACTTGAGAGACTAGGTAGGAACCTTTAAGGGGCAATGAGTTTATATTAATGGGGAAGGAACAACTTGGAAGAAGAGGTGAGAATGAATGCACAACTGGAAGAATGCAATCATTGTCACTGATTACATGCAGAAACGGTTGGACTGGAGTATAATTTTCCAGGAATTCTCTTAACAAGTTTATATATATATATATGCTCTGGTAGCTTAGTGGTTACGAATCGGGCTGTGGACCCCAAGGTCAGCAGTTCGAAACTACCAGCTGTTCCATGGGAGAAAGATGAGGCTTTCTGCTCCCGTAAAGATTGACAGCCTTGGAAACCCTGTAAAGGGTTGCTATGAGTCGGAACCGACTCCACGGCACATAACAACAACAATGTAAATGATACCCTACAGGTAACCTTGTCAACAATTTCTGCCCCCTCATCCACTCACTCTGCCCTCTGCAGGTTTCCATACCTAGAGGATACTCGTTCCTTACCTCTCCTTCAAGGCCAAGATCAACACACTCCTCATTTAAAAGGATAGACTTGCCTAGAGATCCCCCACCTCTGCCTCCTACTGATGCCTACAGTTAGTTCCACCTCAGCCTCCCCTAGGCTCCAACACACAGTTTGATTCAGGTTGTAGTTGTGTGCCATCTTTCTGTCCCTCAAACTGTGTGCTACCTGGACATCCGTCCTGGTGTCTCCAAAGGTTGGCACAGAGTAGCTGCTAAGAACGAGTGTGATGAAGTTGTGTGTCAGCTTGATAAAATGCCCTTGGATAGTCTATGGCCTCAGGTGAAGGGGATTTTCAGCATAGCTGGTGCAGCTGAGAGCCTGACACCTGCTGGAGGCCTGGCACAGCTGCGTGGTACAGGGCTACCTGCACTGAATCTACAACCCCACTAGAGTTCCCGTGCACCGGCCATACCTGGGGCATAGGGCTGGTGTGCCCATAGTGAGATGACAGCCCAGGTTCCGTCTTGATGGGACGCATTTCTTCACTGCTGCTGGTAGCTGCGTTGTTGGAGTTGCTGGAAGCACTGCTGGTAGGAGGAAGGCTCTCATTGCCGGAAGGACCTGGGAACAAGGCAGAGTCAGGACACCCAGACCAAGGGCAGGGATAAATGGATAGCGGTCTTTTGTGACAGCCTGAATAGGTCTGTGCTAATGGCTTTATTTGCATTTGCTGGGGAGAAAAGCAGGGGTCCCTTAAGGTTCAAACTGATTTTGCTGTCCAGTGCTTTTCTAAATGAGGCAGAAGTACTAGAATCTCCAGAGGATTTCTATCAAATGGCAAACTCACCAAATTTTATCTCAAACCCTTGGGGCTACACATATTTCAGGATTCAAAACTTTTTTGGATTTTAAAAGTGCAAATACTGTACATTTCATAATACCCACAATGGGATATGAGAAAAGACTTTGTAATTAAATATGTTGCTATTTCTCTCTGCTATTCATAGAGTTTTCAGTGACTAGCGATTCGGAAGTAGTTTGTCACTCTTTCTTCCTAGTCTGTGTTTGTTTTGTAGCTCATCTGAAACTTGTCCACCATGGGTGACCCTGCTGGTTATTTAAAACACCGGTGGCATAGCCCTCAGAATCATAGCAACTCAAACCACCACAGCACGACAGACAGATGAGTGGTGGCCGTTTGGTTTTATGTCTATACTGTCTCTTTAAATTTCTATGTCAATCTTGATACAATCCTGATAAAAATAAGATACAATCAAGATGTTCTCTCCTAATCCTATCAATCCTGGTACAATCAAGATAAGCTCTCCCAAGATGGCGGCTCCTGGAACAGCTGAGTGTCTTGATCCAGAAAATAATGGATTTCTGGATTCTCCTGAAAATTCCCCAGTTATAAACCAGAGGAAACAGTCGCTGGAGAAGAATGTCATGCTGGGTAAGGTGGAGGGTCAGAGAAAAAGAGGAAGACCCCTAATGAGATGGATTGGCCAGATGGCATCATTGATGGACTCAAGTGTGGCAGCGGTAGTGAGGTTGGCCCAGGATCGGACACTGTTTCGTTCTGCTGTGCATGGGGTCGCTATGAGTCGGTTCCGACTCGATGGCACCTGACAACAACAAACAACAACAATTTCTCTAGCAAACCATGGGAACATTCACTCAAATTCACTGCCATCAAGATCATTTCAGTTCATAGTGACCCTGTATAGGGTTTTCTGAGGCTGTAAAGCTTTACAGGAGCAGAAAGCCTCATCTTTCTCCCATGGAACAGCTGGTGGGTTTGAACTGCTGACCTTGTGTTTACTAGTCTAGTGCATAGCCAGTGGTGGCACACAGGCTCCTACATTTATACTTAGTTGTTGTTAAGTGCTGTTGAGTCTGTTCTGACTCACAGCAACTCAGCAGAGGGTTTCCCAGGAGCACTTAGTGGGTTTGAATCATTGACCTTATGGTGAGCAGTTCAGTACTTATCCTATAGCACCACTTACTAAATGGGATAAATAAAGACTATCAATAACCACTTAACTGTTCAAATTAGGTACTGTTGCCGAATCTTGCTATCTGGGCTTGGAGTTTTGGAGAAGGGATTGTGGAAAGGATATGCCTGTTTTCCCTGCGATGACGCTAAGGACAAGAGGTGACACAAGGGAGTATGTGGGTGGTAGTTATAAACAGTGTGGGGGCAGGAGGACCCTGACAGTCCTGATGAGTAATATGAGTGCCAGGAGTAACTCATTGCGAAGACTGCAGAAGTAAAACTGACTTTGTCATGTCCTAAATTAGGAGATACATTTTTCCTTCAGATCAACTAGTTTATTTTCTCTACAACTATAGTCCTGGTATGGCACCACTGGATGAGCACTCAACCGCAAGGTCTATGTGAACTGCAAGGCTTATGGTTCAAACTCACCAGCTGCTCCTTGGAAACACAGTGCAGAGTTGCTGAGTTGGAACTCACTCGACAACACTGAACAACAACCACATAGTCCTGGTGAGGCGCTGCAAGATAATGCACTGGACCGCAGAGTGGCTTTGAATCACAAGGCCAGTGGTTCTAACCCAGCAGCCACTCCGTGGAAACCCTACACAGGGTCGCTATGGCACTTAACCACAACAACGACATAGCATTTACCAGTCAAAATTGTAATTTGGTGGCAGTATCGAGTAGGTAATTGATTGAGGGGAGGGCAACAGAATGCAAATTATCCTTATTGTCAATCTAGAAATTAAGAAAGTAGAGTGGTATTTTGAACAGATTATTGATCCCAAAGTCTAAAAACATGGGTTTTAATTCCAGTTCTGCCCATTAGTAGCTACGTGGCTCTGGTTAAGTCTAAACTTTAGTTTTCTCAGTAAAATAGGTATAATATATCAGTTCTCATGGTGCTGTTGTGAGGAACATTGGGATAATGTTTATGAAGAGGCTTGTTAAAGTAAAAGTTGTTGTTTTTAGTTGCTGTCAAGACCATTCTGACTCGTGGCAACACTCTGTGTACAGAACAGAACTGTTTATTAGGATTTTCAAGGCATGGAAGCAGACGGGATATCTATGGCACCACAGATGGACTTAACGGTGATTATGAGGCAATTGTTTGTACCTGGCAAATGTACCTGGACTAAGAGGCAATTGTTTGAAAAGAACATGGGAACACTGAATGGTTTAAAATTAAGAAAGATGTGCGACAGGGTTGTATTCTTTCATCATATTTATTCAACCTGTATGTTGAGCAAATTATCTGAGAAGCTGGGTTATATGAAGAAAAATGTGGCATCAGAATTGGAGGTATACTCATTAACAACCTTC